TATGAAGGCCTACAGCACCCGTGCAGTAATAGTTCGACTGCAGAGGAGCCGAACCCCATGCATTTATATCTGCTATACTAGTATGCGCCAAACGAAATTCCTACTCGACTACGTGCTTGCCTATTGTATCACACTTCAAATTTTAATCGCGTTCGGGAAGAACCAGGAATTGGAGTCCTGTTCAGTCGCTATCCCGCGGGGCTATTGTATGGACCGGTAAACATATGGCCCACCAAGCCGACTTGATGGGTTCAAGGCCCAGCAGTCTTTGACTCTTTATTCAGGTCTGATGATCTCCGGTTTATTCTATGGCGTGCTTCAGGCTGCCACGAGGTATATGTGAAAATATTACATAGATGATTCGACAATTCTGGTGGGGCAGTAAGAGAGGCAAGAAGAAGCCTTGTTGGGTCACTTGGGACGTACGCACTAAACCAAAGTCTTTGGGAGGTTTAGGTTTCGGGATATTGAGCTTTTCAATTTATCACTCCTCGCAAGACAGGCTTGGCGATTGATTGAAGGACCTATGACGCTGAGCGCAAGAATACTTAAGTCAGTATATTATCCTTCTGTTTCTTTCTTGGATTCGGAGTTGGGTAATCACCCCTCACAAATATGGAGAGCTATTTTGGATGGAAGGGACGTGATAGCTCAAGGCATCATTAGAAGGATTGGTACAGAAGAGAAAACAAGTATATGGAATCAAAACTGGTTGCCAAGGACGGGTCTTATGAGGCCGATCTGCTCACTGGTAACCCAGCCACCTATTTTGGTCTCAGAACTCATTGATGCCTCATCTTCGTCATGGCGAGAGGAAGAGCTACGGAGAATATTTGTACCTGTTGATGTTGAGGAGATACTAAAAATCCCACTGTGGACAAAAAAGATAGAAGATTTCTGGGCTTGGAGAGAAGACTGTCGTGGCAAGTTTTCAGTAAGTTTAGCGTATAAATTGTTGTCCAACTTAAAGAGGCAGCGGGAAAATCTCTTGGACAGGACGGGAGGATCGTCAGCTATGGTACGAGAGCAGAAAGCTTGGAAGTCCGTGTGGAATATCAAGATTCCGTCAAAATTAAAGAACTTTATATGGAGATTGTGTAACGACTCGATACTGACCGCGGATGTTTTACAGCATAGGCATATGGCAACGAGATGTGTTTGTGCCTTCTGTTCGGCAGAGGACAGCTGGAAGCATGCCCTAATTGATTGTGTCGTTTCGAGGTGCGCGTGGTCTTTATCATCTGATGAGCTAGTTGAAACAATGTGTGATAATTTGAGTCTGAATGCAAAAAATTGGGTGTTCACGATGCATGAACTTCTGCCTCATGAGGAGTTCACGCGCATGGTGGTGACACTTTGGGCGATATGGAGGGCACGGAGGAGAGCTATGCATGAGGGTATATATGACAGTCCGTTGCAAATCAATCACTTCATCAATTCTTTCTTGAGGGACATTCAAATTCTAGCGATACCGAACCAGACAATCAAGAGCACTTTGAGCAGACCATCACAGTGGTTACCACCACCACAAGATCATGTGAAGATGAATGTTGATGCTGCAGTACTAAATGATAATATGGGAGCCGTTGCTGTGGTCTGCAGAGACATCAATGGAGTATTTTTGGGTGCATCGGCAATCACTTTCAAACATATACATAACCCTGTTACACTTGAAGCTTTGGCAATACGTGAGTCACTTTCACTTGCGGAGGATCTGTATGTAATACAAGTGGCTTCTGATTGCAAAAAGGTGGTGGATGATATCAAGCAGGGATCGTTGGCCGGACATGCTGCAATCATACATGAAATCATAGATCGCTCTTGTTCTTTTACTGCTTGTAACATTGTTCACGAGTATAGGAGCTCGAATTTCGAGGCTCACAATCTCGCTAGGCATGCACTTTCTTTAGGGTTTGGTCGCCATGTTTGATTAGGCCAACCCGGAGACTTAAATTTTATTCCTGTAAATGTTGGGACAGTTTAAATAAAGCCTGGCGAGAATGTCTCAAAAAAAAGGTCTGATGATCTTCGCAGTTTGGGCCTTCCTTTCCTTTTGTTGGAAGCGGCCCTTCACTACCAACAACAGCTTACTTTCTCAAAACAAACAAACAACGAGCCCTAAAGAAAACGAAATCACTAGTTAAGAGTTACCCCTTGCAAAGGTCACCCCCACCTTCTAGGCTGACAAATGACGCACTGCGTGTGCACCATCAATCGTAACCTGAGAGGATTTTTTTTGTAGTTTTGTTTATTTAAAACATTTGATCTCTTGAACCATGGTCCAAATCCCGAACCGTTTTCACCGTTGGATTTATCGGGTCAAGAATTCGAAACTAGAACACATGTTAGTAGGTTTCGATGAACTTTTCCATGAAAAGGCTAAATATCAAAGAAAAAAACTAAAATAAATGAATATAAAAGAAGAAGGCCGAATAAAATCCTAAGCCCGAAAGCACGGTAGCGGGTTTCACTTTTTTCCCTTCCCAAAAAACACAATTGTGCTTCTCTTGGAAGCATACATTTTTCACTTGGCACACTTCTCACGGAAGCAAGCATTTGCTTCCACAAGAAGCAAACATGTCTTCTTGTGAAAGCACATACTTTTTCCTTAGAAGTACACTTTTTACGGAAGCAAGTCTATGCTTCCACAAGAAGCAAATTTGTGCTACTCGTGAAATCACCTTTTTTTCTTAAGTTGTGCTTCTCGCAAAAGCAATTTGTGCTTCCGCGAGAAGCAAATATGTGCTTCTCGTGGAAGCGCATATTGTCTTTTCTTTACGAGAAGCACAGAGCAAATATGTGCTTCTAGTGGAAGCACATATTTTATTTCTTTTTCAAGAAGCACATTTGTGATTCACAAAAAAAAATCTCCAAAACCAAGGAAAACCAAGAGAAAATCGAAAACGCCCCAAAAAAACCATTGAAATCCCAAAAACGCATACAGAAAATTAAAAACCGAAATCTAGAGGGAGCGTCTAGCACGCACACGTGGTGGTGATACGTGTGATACGTCTCCATCATATCTACTTTTTGGAACACTTTTGCTCTTGTTTTCCCCCATAATTTCCATGATTTGAGTGAAAGTAACCCGAGTTGACGTTGTTTTCAACAGAACTACCTTGGTGATTTATTTGTGCAAAATAAAAATTCTAGGAATTTAATGAAAATTTACGAAGAATTATTTTAGAATAAATGAAAAATCTTGGAACCAAAATCCACCAGAGAAACGCCAGGGGGTGGCCACATGGGTTGGTGGCGCGGCCACCCCCCAGGTCACGCCACCTGGCCATGTGGGCCCCTTGGACATTCTCTGACTTAATTCCAGCGCTATATATTCACTTTCTTCAAGGAAAAAAATGAGATAGAAAGTTTCATCGTGTTTTATAATATGGAGTCGTCGTCACCTCCCGTTCTTCGTCGGGAGCCCTAATCTAGAGTTTTTTCGTAGCTCCAGAGAGAGGGAGTTATCATCATCGTCATCGCCAACCCTTCTCCATCAACAATTCCATAATGCTCGCAATCATATGTGAGTAATTCCCTTGTAGGCATACTGGAGGTAGATTGAGATGGATGATATTTCATATGTAATCATGTCAATTTGCTAAGGCTTGATCCTTAGTATCTACTATGTTCTGAGATTGATGTTGCTATGACTTTGCTATGCTTAATGCTTGTCACTAGGATCCGAGTGTCGTGATTTCAGATCTGAACATGTTGCTCTTATGCATATATTTACGTTCCTGATTTTACCTGCAAGTTGTATGCACATGTTATTATTCTGAACCTTAGAACCCCAAGGTGACCATGACTTGGGATATCGATGGGGATGATTTTAACTTCAGGAGTTCATGTATTCACAGTGTGTTAATGCTTTGTTTCGGTTCTCTATTAAAATGAGCGTCTTAATTACTCTTAGTTTCCATTAGGACCCGTTTCCACGGGAGGGTAGGACAAAAAAAGTTACGCAAATTCTTACTGCTTCCGCTGAGACGATGACAATGATGTCGGTGCCCCCAGCTATCCCCTGGCCTAGGACGAGGCCTATGATTACAAGAATACTAAACCGACGTAGGGTTCTCTTCGGTAAAAGAGTCCTTTGCTTGCGCGCCTAGACGGCAGACTTTGCTTGGGAGGCTTCCTACATTGGTCTGAGGCCCGTAGAATCCTCATGGCCCGCTAGCCCAGCGGCCGGCTTGCCTCCCGACGGACCACCCCTACCGGTATAGCACACCGTCATGTAACTTTCCTTGGGAGGTGCATGTTTTCCCTTTGTAATTCTCTTGTTAGTTGCAGTACAAGCAAGAAAACTTTATGTTTCAGTTTACAACAGCTTTGTCATAGCCAGTTGAAAGGACCTACAGTATGTTGGGTCACCATGACTTGCGTGTAATTTCATGGGCCAGAAATTTCCTGATTGTCAGATGTAGCTCCAAGTGTCTAGATTCTCCCGTAGGCTGCACTTGAGCAAGCAACTCAGAAAAGCCAAAAAAATAGGCCTTCATAGGTCCAATTTTGCCACAAAAGACTCCTAGTCCACCTTGTGATTTTGCTTTGCAAACTTTGGTTCATGCAATGGGAGATGGTCCTTTATCCCCCCTGGCATGCTTTCTCCATAAACAACCGGTGATGAATTTATTAATCTGATCAATGGCATCTGCTGGAGCACATGTAGAATGCTGGCATGGAAGAGAAAACTAACTAAAGTAGCTGCAAGTTTGCCCCCACAGGATACAAGTGTGGAGCAACCAGTGAGTCTTCTCTCATTTCTTTGCACCAAAGGCATGAAATCTGCCATTTTGTCACTAACACGGCGAGCTTAATAGAGGAACACACATAGTAAAATCTACTAACTCTCTATCACATCCTTTTGTATGCATTACAAATACAGAGCTAAACTAAACTGCCTCACAAGAGTATCATCAACATCATTATGTCATATGTAACAACCCCCTTATATCACAACATACTATCACCTTAACACCGAGAAAACGGCTCACACATCAACCCATTTTCACTAGCGACTCCAGCTTATTTCCCACACGATCATCTGGAGCAACCTGTCGAAGCAGGTTCTGCACATCATCGACCCAGTTCTGCTTACTCGTGCTGTCCTGACACTCGAATTCCACGATCCCTTGCGCCGTGCTCAGGCCGAAGCAGCATTTCTCATCCATGAAGGCCTTTCCCGGCTCGATCACCGACGTCGGAAGCTCACTGTATACGCCGTAAACCACGCCTGCAGACGATAATTACAGGCGGAACGCTCAGTGTTAAAATCTCACAAACTACGCTGACAGAGGCAGAAATGGTAGCATATGATGTTTGTTTCGGGTGCTGCTGAACTTACTCTTGTTGTTCTTGGACAGTGCACCTCCAATGTGCTTGCTTTTCAGCTTCAGCATGCCTATTATCATTTGGCTATGCCGTCAGTAATTGAACACACATTTTATTTTATTTTTGGTAGGACAAATGGACAATAATTTGATATTGTGCAGTCAGAGTTTTTTTCTACCTGAGACCTCCTGTTGATGTAGACAGATACTTTTGTCCTGTGTAAATCCCCTGCACCAGGAAAAATAAATTCAGATTGTGCACCTTAATTGTATTGTTTGGTGTTAATTTTACACGTTACTAGTAGATTATAAGATTTTAATTCATCTCTTCCGAATTATGTATATGTAAAATGTTGGCACATGACTGAATGTTCTGAATATTACTCGGCTGTGTTGTCTGAATGTCTGTACCTTTTCTTGTGCGTTTCAGCAGCTCACCCTCCTTGCACCAGACATCAGGGCTCCACGAATGGCCCTTCTCGTAAGGAAGAACGCTCGCGTTGCTCCTCGCCGCCTCCCGCTGCACCCTCTGCTTCATCGTCGCAGTTCCTGGCAGCGCTGACACGAATTCCACACGAACTCAGCTTTGATTCTTGCACGAGATAACATACGGAAACGGGAGTGCACATTGTGATGGCAATGGCGGCACGGCCGTTCGCCGCGTCGAACCCTTACCGGTTGCCGCTCCGGCTGTGAGCGTCGTCAGATCGCCGGCGCTCCTTACGCCAACCGCGGACTGGACGGCGGAGGCCACCTGCTCGTGTGTCGGCCCGGCAAGCCTTGCCGCCTCCACGCAGTGCGAGGCCAGCAGCTCCGTGGCCGGCGCCATGGCGGCGGCCATCTTGGGGGCCTGGGTGTCGGAGCTGGTGGACGCCGCCGCAACGGCGGCCACCGCGGCCGCGACGCGGACCACGGACACCATGGCGTGCACGTGGGCCCTGTCGGCGCGCAGCTTCTCCTTGCTGCTCTGCCTGGACCGGCTCGCGTCCTTGTGCTGGAACCATTTGCCGATGGACTGGTGGTGGCCGATGCCGCTGATGGAACTCCGCCTTGCTTCCGTCTGCTCGAAAATGGGCAGACAACAGACGGAAACATTCAGAAAGGAGAGAGCAAAGAAAGGATGGGAGTGAGTGGGCAGTGGACTGCTCGCTGACGTGGTGTCGATAGCTCGGGACGATGGCCGTGGCGGCGAGCACGGCGGAGGCCTCCGGTATGCCCATCTCCTGCAGCGGCAGCCTGTTGAGGCAGCTCTTCTTGCCTCCGACGAGGATCTTGGATATCTCCGACGCGGACACGCTCCAGGACCTCGACAGGTACTCCATGGGCTCGAGCGGCGTCTGCGGCGGCGGTATCGCCGCCGCCGCCGCATCCTCCTCCTCATCGACCACATCAAACCGGAACGCGCTGCCGGCCTTCCAGCCCATCTCCATGGCCATCAGTCCCACGCAGTCACTCTCCGCACTCAGCACTAGTCTACCACGTCCTTGGCTCTCAGTGGCTGGTTGCAGGCAGCAGGAGGCGACGGTCGCCTACTTATAGCGGAGGAGGCACGCACGGAGCACGAGGAGGGGGGCGTGGAGCCGCCATGGCCGTGGCAGAAAGAACAAGGAGGACACGAGGCTGGCTGGCGAACAGGCCCCTGGCTTTCTCTGCTACTCCTGTCTGTCTCTAACAAGTCTCCCTCCACTACCTGGGACTGAATATTTCTACTACCACTGCTGCAATATACTAGTGCCGCCGTCGCTGTTCTCTAGCCATTTGTTCCCGGCAGCTGAGCTATCCGGGACCTCGGAGGGTCTCACGACATGACTTCAGAGGAACCAAGCCAACCATGGATTGCTACGGCGGCATTGGCTTCTGGACGTACCTACGGTTGTTGGCAACGTTTAGTCAATTGCACGAAGACTTGTTTGAACTTGCAGCAACGTTCTGCGAGGCGATGCGATGCTTCCAAGAGAAACCCCCTGTTTTCCCGGCGTATCAGCTACCGACGATGCCGGCGTTCCCGCTAATTAACACGAAGGGATAGATGTATGCGACGGCTGCGCTTGGAGGCCGGTCAAGGTGCGAGGAGGAGCTTGACGACAGGAGACCCGTCACCCTGTAAGCTGGACGCCGGTCGGTCTGCTTCATCGGTCTTGGGTTGCATGTATCCATCCATATTGCTTGTTACTCATGCTTGTGCGTCTCTGGCTCTCTGTGTCTGTTTCTTTTTTCAATTTTCAGGTGCGGTGGGGCTTGATGCGTGGCCTATGTCTCCGTTTCCACGTACATCTGTAGGGTACGTGAGGGCGATCGATCGATCTCCTTTGCTTCGATCTTCAAACTCGGTGGAACGGTCAAGCCGCTTGATCGACCGCCAAGGCGCCAAGGCAGGAGCAGCAGCATTAGTTTTTTCGAGCAGTATAAAGCTCCCCAGGTGCTGGTGGGACTGGGCAGTGCAGAAATGAAAACAATACTCGTACGCACCATACGTGCTGTGCTGCTACGTGTCGTGCCGTGAGGTGGTCGCCCCTGCCACCGTCGCAGGAGATGCGAGATGTTTGTCCCGTCCCTGAGCATGTCGAGCATGTCGAGCGTGCGCGCGCGAGGTGACGAGTGGCGCGCCCAATGATCAGGGCCACCGCCACCCCCACCGGAGTGGAATCTCGTCCCACGCGCGCCTGCGTTATCGCCATCATCGGTCGATGGCCATGCCCTCTTCTACCCTCCACTAACAACGTGCCCAAAGCCCGGCCGGCCCCATGATTGGGCAGCACTTGCCTGCTGACCCAAATCATCGTGTTGCCTGCTTGATTAACAAGAGTCTGAGACTGAGCAGGGAATCGGTCGCCGTAACCTGTTCGCAACGGCATCGACCGTGGTTTGTTTTTTCGACGTTTGGGTTTGTTTGGTCAGTTTAGGGAACACCCATGATGCAACTTTTCCCGCCAAAACAAGTGTGCTACCACATGCGTGAGAGGTATGCTAGTGTTGTATGGTACTATTACTAGTTAGTAGCTGATGAGCGTCTCGTCCCTTTTTCGGCTTGCGTCCGGTGGAAGCGACGGATCGGTCATGTCCCAACAAAACACTGTGTACAGTAGTACAGTATGTACGTATCAACTAGTAGGAGTTTCAAGGAACGTCATGCGAGTATGAATGTATGATCAGCATCAGTCGGCCGGGATTTTTAACCGGCCAAGGGAGCTACGGCAGGCGATGATGGTGTTTGCCTCGTGCCTATTTCATGATTGAGTGTGGCAACGAAGGCCTTCATGATGGATACAGATAGATACAGGAGGGTGGGACGGCCAGAATCGCTCGCTGGCTGCCTCTTTTCACTCGGCCGCACTTTTGCCATCACCAAAGGAGCAGATAGATAAAGAGCACCGGCGCCTGCGACGGGAGAGGGCCTCACCTCCCTCCCTCGTCCATCGGAGGCGTGGGAAAAGTGGGCAGAGACCACCAGCGCGTCTCCTCAGCCGTTGCGCACGCCGGGAATCCGTCGCGGGCGCTGCACCAGCCCACACCAAACCCAGGCTTCCATTTCGGCTGTAGAAAACCATATCATCACCATCTTAACAACAGAAATGGTACTCCTACTAGTAGAAAACAAGGCACCAAAATGTCAAGTGTGGTTGACATCTTCACACGGAGAAGAGCTACCCTGGTAAAGCCGTGAAAAGTCTGCGAAATTTCTTGCAACAGACATTGGACATCCGCAAAAGTCACAGCGCATTCAACCAAGCCAACACTCTTCTTCAGCAGCAGGCGTAGAAAGCAGAGCGGCAACAGACACACACCAGCAAAAAAAGAGAAAGGATCAGTCGAGGTAGAGCTTGACGTGGATGCCGTTGTCGATGAGCGACTGCACAACGGCCCTGATCTTGCCCTCGAACCGGTCCCGCTCCCGGGGCGTGTAGGTGCACGCGTACACGTCCGCCTCCTTGGCCCGCTCCGCCAGGAACCGCCCCACCGACAGGCACGCCGGCACGTCCGACCGCGACGTCAGCGCCGCCTTCACGTCCTTGGAGTTGGTGCCCGCAACCGCCACCTGCCGGCACGTCGACCGGTGGGTCAGCGACGCCGACACAAACCGCTTCGAGATGAACACATCCAGGGTGAAGGGCTCCATGTGCGCGATCGTCCGCTGCTTGAACGAGATGTGCTTGTGCGGGTTCTTGGACCGCTTCTCCTTCTTGTACGTGTAGGGCTTGCTGTTGTCCTCGTCCATGAAGTCCTCCACGCCAAAGAAGCTCCTCGCCGACCTCAACACCTGAATCAATGAATGAATCAAGAGGTCAGAGCGGCGACTTCTATCTACTTTAGATTTTTAGTGAGTGGAGCTGAAAGCGAAACATGGATCAACAGACTGAAGCGTCCGTTGCACTGAGTTTGAATTTGAATTGAAGGTGGAACATATATCAACAGAATGAAGTGTCTGAAGCAGGGTCAGAATTTGAATAGATTGTGTGTGAGGTTGCATCTCAGGTAAACAAACTTTTGAAGAGCTAAACGCTTGGTCTAAAGAGGTAAGCTAAATGAATTGTTCAACTAATTTCAGGGTTTATAAATGTACAAGACCTATACATGTTTGTAAACTGACTGCATAAGTCCAGCCAAAGAATCCAGAGGCAACTTCAAGACTTGAGCTCTTGCGGCAGCACCAAACTTTTATAAACAGTTGTATACCCGGGTGATTACAACAAGTTATACGAATGAATTCCTTCAATGCACTGCCAAGTGTCTTTACAATGAAATGTAGATGAAAGTGACTGAATTGTCCAGTGTATTCAGTGTAACTAATTGATGAAATGAATTGTGGATGCCGCTGTAATCTAAAAAAAAAAAGGTAATCCGTACACTGAATCAGGTACAGTTGCAATAGATTGTTAAACTTAAAGCCATTATTTAGCCAGTATATACATAAGACGACATGCATAGGGTAGTAAGAATGACTGGAAATGCTTTACTAGACCTGTTTGACATAACTTTGAGCCAAGGTTCGAAATTTTGAACGAATCTTTGGTGGGATGTGTCTCAAGTAAGTGAATTTTTCAGCTCATTAATGAACATCTAAATTGTGCTGGAAATATAAATGATTGTAGAAGGACAACAAATGTTTGGCTCATGCAGCCACAGGAAACTTGTAGCCTTCAGACAGTATCACATACTATGCAGGTATGCAGTCACTGCAAGTAGTCTAGATTTCAGACAGGATTACACTAGTTTATTCATAAGCATTACCAAGCTATCTTGTTATTACAAGCATTTCTAAGTTATCACAACAAAAATTCTAGTAGCTAATGCCAACTAATTTTCATCAACATATCCAAGTTGCTAAAATTCAAGCACTATAACAACATAGATGCTTCAAGGGTTGATTATCACCAGATAACAGGCAGAGAATAAAAATGTGTTTTATTACCTGCCCGCTGTGAAATTGACTTGAACAAGCATACATTGCTTCAGCTGGATGCCCTTCCCGTAGGACATGCGCTCCCCTCCTCCATGACTGACTCAAGATGTTCTTCAGCATCTTTATCTCAAGCACCCTCAATGCTCAACAAATACTAAGCATGGATTACTTGTAGCATAAGCTCCAGGTCACTGTGCAAGAAAGGAAGTTATTTTAGAGCTCAAAATTCTTCAGCTAATTTGCTTCACAGTGGCAGTCCTACACAACAAAGCCACACATTTGTAGTTCCTACAAGATGACGACTCATCAGACACCAGGGGCAGATCTTAAGTGGGGATACTAGTGCTCTGAATCAAATTGGGACAAATTTGAAGCAATATTTGAGATAAACTGCAACAATTACTTGGGTGAGTACTACTCAGGATGTAATGTGGCAATGGGGCAATAGCCGCGTCAGCCGCATGGCAGTTATGTGGGTTTTGCGCCAGCCACTTAGGGCCAGTTCTTTCCGCCTCATAATTCTGGAGAATTATAATTCTAGGAAACTGCCTACAGAATTGTCTGCCCACAGAATTGCCTGTCCAGTTCTTTTCTGTTATTCTAGCCTGTGATTGTTGTATGAGTTGTCTGTTGAAATGTCTGCAATGCCCCTAGATTGAAGTGAGTGATGAATTGGTAACGCCTAGTTATTTCGGTCAGTTTCATGTCTAATATGAACACGAAAACGAGCTGCAAATCTCATAAAATATATAATATTACAATAGTTTCCCCCGGAGTGCTCATTAAACTTAGTAAACAAATTACCTTGCCCTACATCGGACAAAGTGGTGTTTCCTATGGCGCGGTGGTTTGCTCGCACCTCCTCTACGCACACATCCATATATATGGAATGAGGCGCAGCATCCCAAATTGCTTTCTGCTTCCCTTTATCCATCTACAACATTCACATGTCAATGTTTTAATCTATAGAAATACATTCCTTACAGATTGTCCATACAATTTTTTTGCTAAATGTTGCATATTCAAACCAGTAAA